TCTTCTCCCAAGTTGGTCACTCTTCTTCTTCCTCCCTTTCTCAACACTCACAGCAGCTAGTAAATGACTGTCCCCGGAAGACTCTTCACCTCCCATCATCCTTTGACTCTCCTTCAAGGCAGTCGTCACGTCATCTAGTCGCAGTGTAGTCCTTCCTGCTATCATTGACTGCACAAACGGCTTAAAGGATTTTGGTAGTGAAGCCAGTAGAAGCAGCCCTTGCTCTTCATCCTTGATAGTCTCCCCTGCATTTAACAGCCTTGATACTTGCTCATTAAACTTGTTGATGTGATCAATTACGCTACCTCCCTCTTCCATCTTCAGTGAGTACAAGTCCATCCTCATCATCAACCGGTTAGTAAGTGTCTTCGACGCAAACTTGCTCTCCAACATTTCCCACAGTTTCTTTGGTGATGTCTCTTTCAGTACTCATGTTGGGACTGCGCGTGCCCTCCCCCCAACCCCGCATTAGTATGATATTGTCCGCTCTGGGCTAAGCCCTCACGGATTTGTTTTTGGGCACTTCCCAAAAGGCCTCATACTAATGGGGTTAGGTGAACCTATATATTTTGGTCCATTTTTTCTTCTCCCTCCGGTGTGGGACTTGGAGGAATCCCAACAAACCTCCCCTCATCCAAGGACCACACAACTTCCGACCTCCCTTCCAGCGGTAATCCCCTTCTTTTTTATTTGCTAACCATCTTGCACCGCCGCACACTCTTTGCGGGACACGCCGCCCGACCTCCTGTCGGGAAGACTTTCGACGCAAGGCTCGAACCTCAGATCTTTCCTTCGCTGGGCTACACCATTTGATCCGCCAAATCATCTTGTACCGCCGTGACTATAACTTCACGGGACGCGCCGCCCGACCTCCTCTCGTCGGGAAGACTTTCGACACAAGGCACCACCTGCGGATCCTCTTTCTTGGTCTTGGTCCTAGTTACACCGTCACACCGAGATTTTTTCCACACTACACAGTCCGCTACTCCCGCCCGCAAGAACCTGGGCTCTGATACCACATGTTGGGACTGCGCGTGCCCTCCCCCCAACCCCGCATTAGTATGATATTGTCCGCTCTGGGCTAAGCCCTCACGGATTTGTTTTTGGGCACTTCCCAAAAGGCCTCATACTAATGGGGTTAGGTGAACCTATATATTTTGGTCCATTTTTTCTTCTCCCTCCGGTGTGGGACTTGGAGGAATCCCAACAGTGGGAAATTGTCAATTGCTTGAACGATTGGTAGTGCATTACTCGCATCATCTAGAACATCTACAAGTGACAGGTCCGAATCTCAAGTTGAAGCACTTGGAATTAGTGTGGTGTGGCAGGCTAGAACATGTTAGCGTGTCGGATACAAATATAGTCTCGATTGTATTCGAGGCATGTGGAGACTTGGAGCTTCATAATGTACCCAGTCTTGTTCGTGTAAGTTTTCCTCGGATGTTCGAACCTGTTGAGAGTGTTTTATCTCGCCTTTCGTGCTGCGCCTTCTCTCAATTAGAGATGCTTCGTTTGGCTGTTTCGCACCGTTTAATACAAAAAATGGAGATGCAAGAATTTCCTCAACTAACTAAGGTCAAGGAATTACTCATATATACTGAACCACGAACGGATTTTAGTCTGATTGGCTTGATATCTCTGCTCAGGGCCTCTCCAAACTTGCAAACTTTTGTTCTAGAGTTGATGTGGTTTAAACCTGATAGGACGAGACGGGAATGGAAGGAGGCTTTAGAATCTCCACTTGAACATCTTAAAGAGGTGTTAGTAAATGGATATCATGGTTGTGCTTGTGAGTTTGAGCTTTTGGCGTATATCTTTCGGAATTCGACTGCGTTGGAGAAAGTCACAATCGATCCTCAGGAGAAACGTGATATGCCTGTCCCCGAGTATCCTCATAAGATGGAAGAGCGGCAAGCTGCAGAACGCATTGCCAAACACTATGCTGAGAAGCAACTGACTGAAATTGCTCCTGAGCGTGTTAACTTATTCATTTTATAGGGCCAATTTGTGTAGTTTATGTCCAAGTTATTTGTAATTCTAGCATTACTCTACCACTCCTCTCCTCTTCTGCCTAAACCCTTTCTTGTGGGGTTATATTTCAATCCCCAAGGCCCCTCTTAAACAAGTACTCCATCTGTCCCCCTGTATTTGTCCACTTTCATTTTTACACACCATCCAATGTACTTCTTTAATTCATTTTATCTTGTAATTTGTATATTAAAAAATTATAGAAATGATATATTAATAATCTATATGTTAAGACAAATCAAACAAGATCACACATGACTATATTTAGGCTTACACATTGAGAGAATTTGATGAGTCAAAGTGCTTAGATGAACAGTTCCAAAAGTCAAATGTGGACAAATACAGGGGGGACGGAGGGAGTATGAACAATAAATCGAGAAGAGTCAAATTGAGCTATATTTTAAATATGTAAAGAGAGTAAATATATTATTCGTACTTGTAGTGGCGGAACCAGGATTTTTGGTGAGTAAAATCACTCCTCGTACTTGGCAGACACATAATATGAAATCATTTTCTAAATCAAATTTGGTTGTTTATAAATGTCTTAATAGATCTGATAATGACTTGAGAATTTATTTTAGAAGGTAAAAAATAGTTGATTTAGAATATGATTTCATATTACAAGTAATTATGTTGATAAGGACAATAAATGTGTTAGTTTTTGTTTTTTTTGTTTCATATTACAAGTCATTATATATGTTGATGAGGGCAATAAGAATAGGATTTCTACACTGAAGTAGAACATGATTACATGCCTAAGCCTTTGAGTATAAGAATATTAATGTCCACATACACTTACGGCATTTCATGTATATGGTCATTATGAATATGAATATATAAGGGTCAAGTGAAGATTACACGCTTTGTTTTTTGCTCTGAACTTGTAGTTTGCAAGATGAGAGGTTTACATTATAACTAATGATCTGCATTCCCTATTGGGAAAAGTAATATTTGCCCTATTGAGGCTGCATATGCTAGTCTTTAATGTTATTAGGGTCTTTTCAATGTGTTCTATCTATTTCTTGATGCACTATGCTATTTACTTGGGTCAAGCTTTGTGTTTTAATCTGGACTTTACAGGCTATGACTACGGGAGTTCTGTTGCCTATGGTTGAATAGCTGTTATCGATCGATTTGGTTTACTGGTTTTTTTTGGCAAAAAACTGCTGTTAGGTACCATCTATTGTGAGATAATGACTATCGGGTACCTCTAGTTTTTAAAATATACTGTGAGGTACCCTAAATATTGAAAAAGTGACTAAAGGGTGATTTTCCATCCATCCCTCCGTTTTCTCCTATTCTCCGTCATTTCTAAACCATTACCATCAAATCATCATCATCATCATCCTCCCCCCTCCTCATCTTCCTTCTCTTCTTCTTCTTTGTTCTCCTCCA